TTATGACCCTTCACAGAGAACTCTTCACTGCCAATTTAAGAAAGACATTCGGATTACTAACACAAAAACAGAGAATGTCTCATATCGAGAATATTTAACATCGAAAAACATAAATGAAAAAAATAATTATTTTTAATAATATGTGGAAATCTCCGCCTTTTACTTGAAGACGGTCGCGAGACCAGAAACACGTGTAGTAAAATTATGGAAAATAAAGTATAATATTTTTAAAAAAAAATCCGCATTACAACCAAAAACGTTTGCAGTTCCTCTCATATATATATATATATATATATATATATATATATATATATATATATATATATATATATATATATATATATAGAGGTATATATATATATATATATATAGAAAGATATGAAGAGACTGAGATAGATAGAAAGATATGAAGATACTGCGATAGATCGATAGATTGATAGATAGATAGATATGAACAGACTGGACTGATAGATTGATAGAAAGAAAGAAACTGACTTAGAAAAAAAAAAACAGAATTAGATAAGTAGATAGATGGAGAGATAAATTGAAATAAACTGAATTTGATAGATATATAGTAAAAATAAACAGAATTATATATATATATATATATATATATATATATATATATATATATAAAAAAAAATAATTGATAGTTAAATGGATAGAAAGAAAGAAAAAAATATAATTAGATGGATAGGAAGAAAAGAAACATAGAAATAAACAGATTTAGAAAGAATCAGAATTAGATTCTTTAGTGTGTCTCGGTAGATCACTTGCGACTAAGGAGTTCGATACTCACTGAGTGCTCCATACTTATGGCCTTGTACTGTATCTAGCCTCCTCTTACTAAATGTATAGACAAATAGAATAAAAAGAAGAGAGATAGAAAGTGTGTGTGTGTGTGTGTGAGAGAGAGAGAGAGAGAGAGAGAGAGAGAGTATTTTGAAACGGACTACCTAAAAAAGAGAAGCAAACTATACGAAAGAGAAAAATAGAATGGAAATAGTAAGACAAATGTAAGAAAGAAAGGAAAGAAAAGGGAGAGAGAGAAAGATTAACAGGAAAAGAGAAAGAAAATTAACAGGAAGAGAGAGAGAGAGAGAGAGAGAGGGAGAGAGAGAGAGCGATTAACAGCTAAAGAGGGAGAGAGAACGTGAAAACAGAAGAATTGGCAGAACGCAGGAAAGGTAAAACACAAAGGAATAAAAAAAGCGGCTGGCGGAATATTCGATTGAATCAAAGACGACGGGTATTAAAATTGATATCGAAAAGAGACAGAAAGCTGGTTAACAAATGGGTAGGGTCAGAATAATTCAATTGAAAAAAGAATCTTGTAAAGAAAGAAAAAATATTCCGATAAAAATACGTTCTAAATGATAAAAGTTTGATTTCTAAATCAAGAATCTCGATTGAATAAAAGAAATGTATAAAGGATAAGAAAAGAAATTGAAAAATGGAACAAATATGGAAGAAGAAGAAGAAGAAGAAGAAGAAGAAGAAGAAGAAGAAGAAGAAGAAGAAGAAGAAAAAAAGATGAAGGAGTGATCGAACTTCAAAAGCTAAAAGAAAAAGGAATCGAATAAAAGTGTAAGAAATATCAAAAATGTAAAATTTGAGCAGAAATTTTATAAAATTGGAAAATAAAAGAAAAGGAATTTTATTCATATACATCTCTTTCGTGTTTTTAAAAAATATTTAATTCAAAGAAAGAAAGAAAAAAACATTTCAAACGTGTTGTAGAATATAAATTCTATGGGGTCAAGGTTTTCGGTTTACATGGGATTTACTGTCTTCATTCTTTCTTTTTCATGCAGTCTCTCAGTCTTTCTCTTTTCTTTCTTTCTTTCTTTCCTTTCTTCCATCCTTCTTTCTTTCTTTCTTTCTCTTTCTTCGTTTGTTTGTTTCTTCATTTCTTTCTTCGTTTGTTTGCTTTTTTTGTTTTTTTCCTTCGTTTCTTTTTTCGCTACTTTTTTGTTTGTTTGTTTCTTCTTTCTTTCTTTCTTCGTTTGTTTGTTTCTTTTTTCGTTTTTTTTCCTTCGTTTCTTTCTTTCGCTTCGCTTCGTTTCTTTCTTTTTTTTTTTCGTTTCTTTCGTTGTTTCTTCTTTATTTCTTCGTGTTTTTGTTTTTTTCCTTCGTTTCTTTTTTCGCTTCTTTTTTGTTTGTTTTTTCTTTCTTTCTTTCATTTTTCGTTTCTTATTCCTTTCTTTTCTTTCTTTCTTTCGCTTCGCTTCGTTTCTTTCTTTCGCTTCGTTTCTTTCTTTCTTTTTTTCTTCGTTTCTTTAGTTGTTTCTTCTTTCTTTCTTCGTTTTTTTTTGTTTTTTTCCTTCGTTTCTTTTTTCGCTTCTTTTTTGTTCTTTCTTTCTTTCTTTCTTTCTTTCTTTGTCCTTTCGTTTCTTTCTTTCTTTCGCTTCGCTTAGTTTTTTTCTTTCGCTTCGTTTCTTTCTTTCTTTCTTTCTTTCTTTCTTTCTTTCTTTCTTTCTTTCTTTCTTTCTTTCTTTCTGTCTAACTCACTATCTCTCTGCCCGTTTATCGCTATCTCCAAATTCTACGTCAGGAAATGCAACATTGATCGTAGACAGATTTTTTTTCAGGAGATTTTTTTTATTAGTTTTCTTATGAAAGAAAAAAGAAAAAAAGACAACAGACTATATTCCGTCCTTTTTAATTTCTTTGATTCCTTTTATCCAAATTTTAATTATTTATTTGCTTATTTATTGATAAATGAATAATTAATTACTAAAATTAATCATGTTCTCAATTTTAAATCTAAGACGGACATCTTGATAGTCTCTCATATCAGTGAATGGATTTATTTTCATATCTTTTGTCTGGTACTAATAAAGAATAAAAAGTGAAATGTTGTTATTTTTATTGTTGTTGTTGGTTCGTAGTTTTAAATTTAATTCTTTGTTTTCTTCTTTATTTAAAAATGTTCTTACCCCTTTTCATTGTTAAACAAGTTATTTATGGCAATCTTGATTCTTAAATTTATTCACTTTATTTCTTCTTCCAATTTAAATATTACAATTTTTATCAGCCATTGTTCAAAACTTTTAAACATCTTTTTTTTTAGTGTTCAACATTTTTATTGTTTTTATTATAATTATGTGAACTGCATTGCCCAACAACAAAAGGATAGAAAGGAAAGTTTTGATACTCGAAGCAGACGATAATTTCTGATCTTTAGTAACAGGAGCGAAAATTCGAGCATGCCAAGAATACAATATTATTATCTCTTTGTTTCTCTATGTGCCACAATCATTTCCCACGTCTCTACTATCGTTTATAACTTCGTGGGACGTCGTTATATTCAATGTTGTTTGGACGTTCAGATCTCTTAATGTCATGCTGTCAATCAATTTGAGAAGAGTCGTTAAAATAACCGACATTGTTCGGACGCCCATGTTCGTGCTTGTTATGTTGTTACTTCGGCATTTCAGTCGATTCATCCTTCAGCCCTCAGGTGTAACCATTGAGGAAAAAAGACAAATTTCAGAGATGATCGTGGTTGTAACTTACTCAGATTAGCTTAAGTTGGTACTAATCTAAAAATATGTGGCATCAAGTGTGGATCGAACTCACTATTCAGTAATAATAGACAGACCACTAAGACTAGTGTATACTACGTCTAGTTGTCACATATTGTCAAACTAAACTGAACTTAGTAAATAGTTATTTACCAAGCTTGGTATAGTTTTGATACAAGGCCAAGGCTATGCGACATCGTCTAAGGACACAATCAGTGGTGGCATCCTCCCGATTCGCACTGGTTCGTGTGAACCGATTCATAATTTAAAAAAACTTAGCGAACTGGTTGTTGGATTATCCAAAATAACCTTATATATTAACACTTTCACTGCTACTCATTTGCCCAGTGCTGCCCGCATCCGGCCAGCCATTTTTAAAGAAAATGCCAAATTTCAACCTACATATTTTATTACACAGAAAACTGTCACCAGTGTGTTTTACAGCCTTCCATTTTCATGGATATACCTGGGAATGACTTACCAGATCAGTAATGGGTATACACATGATATCTTTTGAAGCATTGGCCTTTGTGATTTTACGATAGATGGCGCAACGGAACACTCATACCAGCGGTATGCAAAAAAACGTAGGTTTCCGTACTTAGCCAGCTGGAGCAAGATAAGAAAAATGATCTCCGGAGTTAGCAGCGGAAGTGTTAATAGCCGATGGGGCACTTCAAGGTGGTGTAATGGTTAGCAAGCTTGTCTGGCTAGAACAATTACGACTGAGTAGTGAGTTCGATCCTCACTGGGTGCCTCATACTTTCGGCCTTGTGCCACACCCGAGCTACGCTTGGAAAATCACTATATTAATAGCCGATGGCCTAAATAAAATGTCAGTCAAGCTACGCTTGTGCGCGTGCCCAGTGAAACTCTAATAGACACACGACCGTCTACCGTTCGACATTCCAACCACCTGAAGAAGGCCAGAGCGTACAACGGCCGAAACGTTGTGATAAACATGGCGAAAAAGATGAGGACAATAGTCCGAATAATGTAAATAGTGTAAATAATACCTTATCTCAGAAATATAGACAGATATGTTGAATATCGTTGGGTGTCTTTTCACCGGACATATTCAACCTTTACAGCGAAGCGATTCTGAGAGAATTAGAAGTTCTACCAGGATTTTTTGCTGATGACACAGTGTTGATATCAGACACAGAAAGAAAGTTACAAAATCCCCTATAGAAGGTAGTGAAGGAAAGCTAAAAGAATGGATCAAAAATCAACTGCAAGAAGACAAAATGCATGTTTGTTAGTAAAAGTATGAGCTCAAAATACAAATTACAAATCGGAGATACCAAACTCAAACAAGTACAAAAATCTAAATATCTAGGAAGTGTTTTAACAGAGACAGAAAGTGTGGCACTAAATCCGGAGGAGCATTGGGATAGCGAAAGAAGCCTTCCAGAAGCTAAGCAGGGTATTAAGAAACAGAAAAACAAAGAGTACTGAATTGTTATGTTCTCTCGGCCCTCATATAAGTCAGTGAATGATGGGCAATTTCCTCACATATTAAAAAGAGACTTGAAGAAACAGAAATATGGTTCTACAGAAAGATACTGTGGATAACATAGATCGAACAATATTGAAATATATTGGGTCATCCGTGATTGCATCGGATTTTTTACCTCGACCAGACACTATTGTCTCAACTGTCGATTAATTATCCGACGGCCGTTGTCTGCGATGGACGTTACTCCAAGGTGTACGAAAATTGTAACGCTATACGAACACACTGGCAAACCTTACCAGTGAGCAAATCAAAGTACTATAGACTGGCCCGGAAACTCTCAAATCGAGAATCTGTGGTCAATCTGCAAGGAACAACAACGTGGAATAGACACTAAAGTACTAACATGTGCACTGGGTCATGTTTCATTGGAAAAATACGAAAAAAAGTAAATAATAATGGAATTATTCGTTTTCTTTCGATTAATTTCACTAGGTGATATATATATATATATATATATTCTATATTCTATAAATATATATATATATATATATATATATATATATATATATATATATATATATATATATATAGTCATCCGCAGACAGACTGTTTCTGCTGCTTCACAGCTCATCACTGTGGCTAGACATCCGATCGCTTCAAGCCGTGACCGAAACTTAAGCGATTTGGCATCAGCCGGAGATTCCAATTCCTAGGCTATCGACGCCCGGCAGAGAGAAAGGCGAATTTTTACGTATTTATTTATTTTTTTCATAAACACGCCAGTGACCGAGAAAACTCAATACAATTTGGAGAGTCTTGCATTATCAGCAGTAGTAATGACTGTTTACAACTTCACGCTCTTCTCCCCAAAGTGCTCGACCTATTTAATTATTTTTTCGGGAGCTACACACACACACACACACACACACACACACACACACACACACACATATATATATATATATGCACAAAGGTGTATATTTAAAGGATATTTACATACTATCCACCGCAATTGCGGATGAAAATTAAAATATATTCTATGGACATCTATTGTGCGATATTTGAGCATCAGCCGAGTCAGTTGAATGAGAAATCTGCGATATCCAGGCGATTTATAAATATCTACTTCTAACATCATCTATTTATTTTGGTCTCTTTCTTTGCTTCCATTTATAAATGATTGCAGAGGCCAAAAGGTGGTTTGGAAAGATCCGTCTGCAGTAAAGAGGACAGAGGAAATTACGGACTAAGTTGATAATTGACCTCAATCAACGATTCTATTTGCATTGAAGGTTATGGATTTGCATTCATAACGATAGATTGAAGAAGAAAGTGAATTAAATGAGGTGCTTTTTATATATAGCTAATACAGCGTTGACGAAGTCTATCTGTTGATATGTTCCCTATACAAGGGTAACTAAATATATCCGTTGATATATTCCCGATATTACTGTGACTAAATGTTTCCGTCGATGTGTAACTGATACAGCAGTTACTAAATATATTTGTTGATATATTCCCAATACAAATGTGACTAAATATCTCTGTTGTTAAGTTCACAATAAAAGAATGGCTAAATAAATCCGTATGCTTCAAATGCAAAAGTGACTAAATGTATCCAGTAATATGTTCTCAATACAAAGGTGGCTAAACACATCCGTTATTACGTTCCCAGTGCAAAGGTGGCTAAACGCATCCGTTATTACGTTCCCAGTGCAAAGGTAGCTAAACATCCGTTATTACGTTCCTAGTGTAAAGGTGACTAAACATATCCGTTATTACGTTCCCAGTGCAAAGGTACCTAAACACATCCGTTATTACGTTCCCAGTGCAAAGGTGGCTAAACACATCCGTTATTACGTTCCCAGTGCAAAGGTGGCTAAACACATCCGTTATTACGTTCCCAGTGCAAAGGTGGCTAAACACATCCGTTGTTAAGTTCCCAATTCAAAGATAACTAAATATATACGGTCATATGTTTTCAATACAATAGTGACTAAATATATCCGCTGATATCTTACTAATACAAGTATGGCTAAATATATCAATTGATAAGTTTCTAATACAAGGGTGACTAAATATATCCGTTTATATAGTCTCCCAATATAGCTTCGACTAAATATATCCGTTGATATGTTTCCAATACAAGGGTGACTAAATATATCTGTTATGTTCCTCTATCTAAATAAGGAAAGTGTCCATTTAATAGTCTGCGCTAGTAATATACTTGTCAAAGACTGCCAGATTCTACCAACTCGAAACAATAACCTAAGAACTGAAGTTCTTAAATATCCTCATCAAACGAAAACTTTCATATTCATGTCATGCATTGCACCCAACCTGTTCCGAAATGTCTAATCTTTCAACCGTATACAACGACTTTCTTAGATCATTTATTAGAATGACTTCAAGCGATTGTACCCTGAAGGTCTAAGGAGGACTGTTGATTTTTGAAGATCGTTTACTGTCGCCGTGGAATCACAAAGAACTGTACCAAATAACAAAAACCATATC